TCGCGGATACGTCCTCATTCTTCGGGGGAAGGGGCTTCTGCAGAAAGCTCTCGATCATAGCCACCACATAGTCCGTCTGGTTCGCCGAGCCCTTGCCCTTGCCTTTCGAGGCACCGGCATGAGCCACTGCCTTGGACTCCTTCGCCTTGTTGCCAGGCTTCTCAGCCTCGGCGGCATGAGCCGTGGAAGCCTTCTCGGTTGCATCAAGGGCTGCAACGGGCTTGGTATCGGTCTCCGCCAGGGCAACTGCCGGCTTTGGCGCCTCCTGCACCTCTGCCTGGCCATAGGCAGGGGCAGTTGCATCCTTGTGGCCGAAGATGTCCTCGAAAGTCCACATCTCCGTGCTGGCTGCCACCGAGACGCCTGCGCTCGACTTGCTGGCCGCCTTCGCGCCAAGCTGCATCGCACACTGGCTGTCGGTCTCGGCGGCAACTCCAAGTGCAAGCGCGACGGCGCAGGTCAACCTTGCGAAGATCATGTCGGCAGCTGGGGGAGTTCGCTCACGATTCTCGGTTCAATAAGCTGCAAAAGCCAAAGGGCTGCGAAAGAGGCCTTTGGAAATCGATGACATCATGATGATGATGATGAAAAGGCCTAACAAACATGAAACACAGGCATGCGTGCTAGGGCATGTCAGACAATGCAGGTGTCAGCTCCTTGCCGAGCTCCGGTGGGGCGGCTGGCGTCGCCTCAGGAAGCTTCCAAGGATTCGGGGCCCTTTTGCTTCTGGCTGCACTGAAGCCAAGGGTAAAACGAGGGACCCTTAATAAGGAACCCTAGGTATATACCCTTAATATAGCTATAATATACCCGTTATATAATCCATTATAGGGTAGGGGTCCCCGTTGAGGGTCCCTCCTTTTCCCCGTTGATTGAAAGCAGCAGATCCTTCGTTTCTGACTCTGGTGCTGTCATTGCGACATCCGCCATGCTTCTCTGTGCGCCTGGCTCCAACTGACCGCATCTGGTCTGCCGGCGCCTGACAAGATAATACTTACTTGTAGCGAATGATCCCGTATGGTGCCACGGAGCACATCCTTCAATACAATAACGTTGATGGCAGGTCTGCTACTTCCCGTGGTGGTTTTTGCATCTCAGTTTCAGATGCGAGGTGGCCAAGCCCTGGTGACGAACTAGAAAACCTAAACCTATGAACATGACTCAACCCACGGTTTTTGCAACACTGATATCACAGCAGCCAGAACCACATGAATAACGGTAAGGCTTGAGAGAACCATGAGTCATACCTCGCAATATCTCGCAGTAGAGGCAACAACACTGATAGGAAGCATCACCGAACACACTGTTGCTATCTTGAGAATAGCAAAGAGACCCTTGCGACTAACATGTGCGCATGTTTGTTCATCCACACACGAACATATCCACTTATCCACAAACAGGTTTTAACTAGACAAAGAGACGGGATTCATAATGTATACCTAGATTCATGCATCTCTATAAATGCACACATTTTACAACAGTATATGCGCACTCATACAACAACCATAGCACCACCAGTCTTGTAGGGGCATGAATAACTATAAGAGGATTTTGGGTAGATAAAACCATAGTGATAATAAGGAACCTCCAAAATAGTACTGGTAATGAGTGAGGACCCCAAAATACGAGGTTCCCTGCAGAGATGCCGAGTACTCTCCCCCCAACCATCCCCGATTACGGATAGTAGAAACTTTGAACCCTTACGGATCCTATAAGACCCTAAATCCCGAAGGATACTATAAACCTTATAAAGTCTCAAGGATGCTATACGCCCTAAGCCCGTAAGGACACTTTAAACGTTTAGGAACCATTAAACCCTACGCCCTTAAGGAGAGGCTGCAAGAAACCATGCCCCAGGTCCCGCCTTGGACGTGTTACTGGCGTCCTTGCCGGGGCCTGCACACATTTGGTGCTGTTTTTAAGGAGAAATGAATTAGAAATGAATTGTACAACCATGTACAACATGTGTCCTCAGGGTTTAGGCTTGCAACTGCACCTAAAACCAGACATGACAGGCCCCTTCAATGACTCGTTCCGACTCCCTTTTCAGCTGCTGCAAAGTTTGCAGCCTCGATAGCTGCATCACTACTGCCCTGAATCCCTGAAACGGGCAGCCCAAACACCTCGACTCTCGCTGCTACTTGGGCTTTCGGTTCAGGGTTTCATGCGATCAGGCACGCACCTCGGTGCAGGCCCAAGGACACCTCGGGATCCGGTCACACTAAGAGAGCCCTGGAAAGATTCTACATTCGACTCCTAACAGTAAGCCCCCTGTAATCTGTTGTAGACGCCTTAAATATTCCAATCACACTATTCTATACCGCAAAACCCTACTGTAACAAAAGCCTCATCTACCTTAAGCTACCATAACCTACTTTTCTGTAGGTTCTAATTCCAAACCCTAGTATAGATTTTATAGGGACCCTACAAAATAGTGGTTCTGGCAGGCTCAAGGAGCGCGCCCCCTGGGGGAATCTTGGCTTCCGGAATGCCAAGTGCAGGCCATGCTACTCTAGACTCTAGGGTCTTGAATATATTTGGTGTATTCTTTCATTCCCCAGGTAGACCCCTTCTAGATCCGTTCAAGTTCTATTCCCTAATTAAGGGATGCTCATGTACCTGGCCTGTATAGTAAATATTTTGTGGGTACAGTGCGATTTGTGATTAGTGTCGTTATAATCAGGAATCCTGGGAAGGTTTGAATCCATCAGCAAACCTGAACCGCCCCATGACCCTCTAAGGTGGGAACTGAAGGAGGACGCACCTTGCTGAAGACTTTCTGCGACTTCCGTGCGAAGGACCTCAGGTTCAGGGAGCCAGCCTTTAAAACTCTACCGCAGTGTATCTGCAGCACTAAACCACATGCCGTTTAGAACTTGGGTCGTGGAGTGGTTTGGTGAGCCAGTTGACATCCTGCACCCAACATGAAGTCCGAAAAATTCTGCATTAATCAGAATAGGGTTTTGGGGTCTACGTATGTTCTTATAATAAAGAACCCTGTGGAACAGTATTACTGAGTATTCCGGCTTCTATCCCTTAACCCTTAACCCCTAAACCCCTTAACCCGAAAACCCTTAAACCTCAAACCCTTAAAACCCCCTTAACCCGAAAACCCTAAACCCGAAAACCATCAACCCTTAAAGCCCCCTCACTAAACCCCCTCTGCTCGGCCAAGGACTTCAGCTGCGACGTAGCTCCAGAGGCTGCCTCTGCGACGCCAGGAAAACCATTACTTAGGTACTGCCCCCTTACACGGTTTAGGGTTTAGGGGTTAGGGTAAGGGTTTAGGGGTTTAGGGTTTAGGTTAGGTACTGCCCCCTTATAGTAACCCTAAGGCTCTAAGGACTCATATATTAAGGCTTTTGGGCTATTTTGATCCCTAGGGTAAGAGTCTATAATAGGGCTACTATTAGGGTCCTAATATATCTATATTATGAATATGATTCAACTATTACTGAGTGGGGGCCGTACCCAAACCATTACCCAGACCCCCAAAAATCCAAAAAGTAGATCTTCTTTAGGGGTTCCTCTAAGAATCCCGTTTAAGGGATCTATAGGGTTTTAGGGTTTAGGGTAGATCCCTTAATGGGGCTTCCTATAAAGTACCCTTAGCAGAATAGGGCCCCAAATTAGGGGATCTACTTTCTAGATCCTTCCGGGGGTCTGGGTACTTAGGGGCCGAGTACATGAAGCACAATAATATAGGGGCCATAGTAATTAGAATAGGGCTTCTTTAAGGGTCCCTTGAAAGGGATCTAGGCCGAGTACGTGAAGCACGATAATATAAGGCCTTAGTACTTAGAATAGGGGTTCGTTTAATGGTCCTTTCAAAGGGATGAAGAATTAAGGTTCCTATAAGGGGCTTACAGACTTAGGGGCTGAGTACCCCAGCCAAGAAAAGGTTAACCTTTTTGAACATGGTAGGGTTATATAGCTCCAAAAGGCTAAAGGTTACCTACTCAGCTACTAAGATAAAAAGGAACGCCGGCATTGCTGAGATGCTCCCTTTTCGGGTTTGGGTTTCGGGGGTTGAGTTAAGCTAACGGTTTAGGGTTTAGGGTGGGTCCCTTTCGGGATTTCGGGTTTGGGGTCTGTAAACATTTACGCCATTTCGGCTTCAAGTTCGGAGCACATCATGAAGAAAAAATCTTTGCTCTTCTAACTATACCCCCCCTTAAAACCATAGTAAAAATGACATGTTTAATATTACCTTGGGTTTTATATGAACAAAAATAGCAAAATAATTCCTCAGGAGGCTATATATAGCTAAGCCACTGCGAAGTAAAGAGAACCCTGTCCTCAAAGCACCCGCGTGTCGGAAAGCCTTTGGCTACATCGGAGAGTCAAAACCCAAAATCTTAAAGTAGTGCAAACCCTGAGCAGTGGGTTAACACCGCAATAATCGGAGCCGTAATTATGTCAATAAGGTTTTGGAATGTACTATACTACCAAGTATATTACTAATTCTTGAGGCACCTACATCTACTAGGATACCCAGTAACCTAAGAATAAAAAGGCCTCTCTTTTTGGTATTGGCTAACTTTATAAGGAACCCATGGCTACAAAAAGGGAAGAAGGGTACTACTGGGCATCCTAGTCTACCAAACCGTTAGACTATAACTATATAAACCCATCAACCCCATAGTCCTGCGTACACCCCCAAACCCTGACCCTAAAGCCCTGAACCCTGAAACCTATACCCTAAACCCCCAACCCCCTAAACCCTAAACCCCTAACCCCTATACCCTAAAACCCCTACACCCTAGAACCCCAAACCCCTAAAACCCCTAAACCCTAAAACCCCTACACCCTACACCCCCCAAACCCCTAAACCCTAAAACCCCTAAACCCCTAACCCCTAAAACCCCTACACCCTCAACCCCCAAACCCCTAAACTATACCGAACTTAGAACCCTAGCAAAAATTTGAATTTTAGCTGTTTCTTAGGGATTATAATAACCAACAATTAAAAATTATTTCTAAGTACCCCTAAGTCAACCTCAAAGCATTCGAGGCGCGTTGGGCCATTTCGGCGCCGGCTCTGGGCTGCGAGGTCCGGGGACGAGCGGATCCGCTGGCACCCGGGGTGCAGGAAGCGTGGCCTCCCACAGTGTTTAGGGTTCCTTTAAAGGGATCTAGAGGGTTTAGGGTTTAGGGTTCCCTTAAAGGGATCTAAAGGGTTTAGGGTTTATGTAGGGTTTAGGGGTTTATGTATAGGGTTAAGGTTTTAGAGTTTTCGATTTCCGGGGTTTGGGGGTTTCGGGCTTAGGGGGTTTGGGGGTTTAGGGGTTTCGGGATGGTTCGTAAAGTGGACCTTACAACACTTCGTAAAAGGGCTGTCATACGGGCTATGCTGGCTATACGGCTTCGGGGGCTTTAGGCCCTTGGCTTTTAGGGTCTCAAAAATATGTCGAGGATAACTTTAAAACCTCAGGAACCGCCCATGCTACCGCGAAGCAGGCGCCTCCAGAAATGCCAGATCTACAACTTTGGCCGGTCTGGATTTCGGCGAGCCATCGCGAACCGAGCCTCCCATGCGGCCGTCTCATTCAACACTCTTTCCCATGAAAGCGGCAACCCGAAACCCTAAACGCTAAACCTGGGGCTCGAGCCTTCTCTGCTCGGAAGAAAGCGGCAGTGGGTCGTACCGCCTCAAGGCGTCGAGGGAGTCAGGCGCTATTCAGCCCATATTTGAAGCAAACACCCACTAAAACCCTAGACGGGCCCCAGAATTCCGACAAAAGCTGAAGGCTTTCTAGAACACCTCAAGACCTGAATCCTTTAATAAAGGCCTACTATTTCTGGTCTTCCAGTGATAGTTCCCACGATATGCACTCTCAAACTTCCAGCGAAGCGAGAGAGACCCTACTATAACACCCTACTTCGCATCCCTGTGGACCCTGTCTAGTGTAGGGGCTTTAATCATTACAATAGGGTTTTGGGCGTTCCTTATTATAAATCGAGTATGACATACCCCAAAACCCTGTTCTAAGTATTAAGACCCCAATCTTACTAGACCCACGAGTAGCCTAGGAATAAAAAGTGTGGCCTTTTTGGTTTCAAGAGGCTCATAAGGGAACCTGAACCCTAAAAAGGGGAGTAAGGGCCTACTCTAGGTCCTAGATTATATCTCTAAACCCTAAAAACCCTAAACCCTACTCTAAACCCTAAACCCTAAAAACCCTAAACCCTATAGATCCCTTAAAGGAACCCTTATAGTACTCTTTAAAGGAACCCTTATAGTACCCTTCTAAACCCTGTCTATCTCTGGGCCGCCACGCGATCCAGATCCCGCTCCAAGAAGCAGCAGGGCAACGTGCCCCGACCTCGGTTGACCAGGAATGGGTTCCTCACAGGGATCTATAGGGTTCCTTAAAGGGATCTATAGGGTTCATTAAAGGGATCTATAGGGCTCCTTAAAGGGATCTATAGGGCTCATGGGACCCAATTAGTATGTAAGGATATATAAACAAATAAATAAATAAATATATATATATATATATATACGATAGTTATTGTAATTATAATTACTTTTAGCCCTAATTAAGGTGCTTAAAAACTGACTTAGTAAGTCCCATGATCCTCCAAGTATTACATACGGTCATGGTTTCAGGCTTTTGCGCCTCAGGGTTAAGGGGCTTATTGTATGGCAATATTCAAGCTACGGGGATTAGGTCTAAAGGTTTAGGAGTCACATATCAGCTTTTTTGTAGTGATCTTTATGCATGCTGGCTTGTATATGGCCTATGTGCGTCTCTTATTCTATACGCTGTGGTACGAATGGGGGGCATGGCTCTTGCCGGCACCCGCCACGACCCCCCTCATGTGGTATACCGTCCCCCGCTGTGGGAACTAAACCTGCGTTGCTGAATCCTCCACCAACATCACAGCGTGGTCAACTATAGGGGCCTTAATAATAAGAATTGGGTTTTGGTCACCTTTATAGTATAGTTATAATCAGGAACCCTAAGGATAATACAGGGAATCATCTGGGCCCCTACAGTAACGGAGGCAGCTCCAACTCCCATGGGAGAGGGGAAAAACAAAGCAGCACGTCCACGTCCACGAAACCAAAGCAGAATGTCCTCTGGGGTACGGGCTGGGGTGCTTTACGGTTTAGGGCATAGGGTTGCCATGGATTTATAGGCTTTAAGGTTTAGGGATTGAAGGTTTATGCAACCATGTTCACCTAGTTACTAGTTGCTGATGTCTCTGCCCGAAAACAGGCCAACCTCGTAATGCAGTTCAGGCTTCTATGTGCCCAACACATGGAAAGTTTCCTGCCCAGCCACGATGTGCAAGATTGCAGACTTTACAAAGCTTAAAGATGGAGCTGTGCCAGCAAAACAGGTTTCGAAAGGAACATCTACGCAAAATCATAGTATGATCTAGTTCTCTAGTTATTCTACCCTGCAAGAGCGCAGTCAAGCAGGCACTGTTAGTTTAGGCTCCCGGCCGCTGCTGGTGGCCGGAGTCGTGATCGCCTGCTCCAGATCGCTGAGAAGGCGATTGGTGACCTCATGCAACCAAGGGTTTAGGGTTCAGGGTTTGGGATATGCTCGAAGACCTGGAATGTTCTTGTTAAGGGCTCTGGGGTCAGGGTTTACGACAGAGGTAGACAGAAGGATCTTATATTAGAACGGCTGTCAAAAGGCTGCTATTAACAGGTCCCCACAAAGCTTCTCATGAGATTGTAAGGGTAAAGGATTTGCGTCCAGGGTAAAAGTGCACCTTATTATTCAAGGACCCTTACAGACCACTTGTTGTAAAACCCCTAAAGAAACCCCAAACCCTGAACTCGAAACGGGCCGAAACACTTACCAACACTGTTTTGGCGGTTCCTAATCGTATCCAAAACCCTGCTCGAATTATTAAGGCCCCTATATTACAGAACCCTACTATAGATCTCTTTAAAGGAGCCCTGTATAAGGATTATTCTACATTAAAACACACCCCCCCCCCCCGGCCGACCTTGAAGTTCAGAGCGGCCTTGACCAGGGCCTCACCGAACAAAGGGGCGACGCGAAAGCACTCGGATCGATGGTTCTATCTCAGGGCGCCTTTGCAAGTTTAGGGTTTAGGGCCAAAGTTGAGGGTTTAGGGCCAAAGTTGAGGGTTTAGGGCCAAAGTTGAGGGTTTAGGGCCAAAGTTGAGGGTTTAGGGTTTATAAGGACAAAGTTTAGGGTTTAGAGTCAAGGGCCTTGCATTGGGACTTATAGAGGGTTGCTATCAGGGTTACTATACGGATGGCTATAAGGGCTACTGTATGTTTCTATGAAGTAGGGCCAATATTCGAACGGTTAGGAGGCTCCTAAAACAACGCAATCTTTGATCATGATCCTTAGCGGGGGCTTGCGTGGGCGAAACTGGGCCACGGATGGGAGCAGTTAACCGTTAACCATGCTGGCAGCCGCGACGTACCAACCCGATTTAAAGCATTGTGTCGCATCATCCGCCTCTGGCGAGAGCTGCGATGACTGGCAAAGGCAGCGCAGCCTGAGATGGATGAGGTTGAATATTGGGCGCTTCAATGTGCCAAGAAATAGAGTTCCACAGCTGCACAGTGTGGCGAGGAAAGAGAGAGAGAGACAGACAGAGAGAGAGAGAGAGAGATAGAGCGAGAGAGAGAGAGAGAGAGAGAGAGAGAGAAAAAGAGAGAGAGAGAGAGACAGGCCGCCTTGCCACAACTTCTGCCTACGGGGCTAAGCTGCGTCATCAATTTCTCTCGAAGGGCCAAAGCTAGTCCGCACAGCCTTTCCATAAAGGCCAAAACCAAAAAACCCGACCCTGCAGAACTGTAGCATTCCAGAGCTGACAAACGGAGGCCTCTGGATCGTACAGTCAAAGGACTGCCCAAGCAACGCCGGGCGAGCCTGAACCACAGTGCACGCAGTATGATGAAACGTTGCATTATAGAACAAGCGTTGAAGTATGATGATCCTGCATATCAGCCTGATGACTCTATCATATCTTCTTCATTGTGTTGAATACACGTTCTACAATCCTAGCGAGTTACTCGGTCTGAACGGGTGTACTGGTGCTCATGTTGTTTCATGTCTGCAAACTGTAACCACTGGACCGAGTTGAGAGTGTGGCTGGTAGATGTAAGGCTTTGGGTAATTATGCCATACTTGTATCTTTAGACGGGCCCGGCACTTCAAACAATGCGCAGAAAAAGCGACGAAACAGCACGGAGGCCATGTGAATTATCGTGGTTGCTGGTGCAGTGATATAGGGGCCGGAACAAATAAATTCTGGTGCCCCTTGTTAACTTAGCTATCGTTCAATATTACCCCTCAACCACAGTCTAACGATCAAGGGGCCTCTGTACTATTCCACATCGAACCTCGCAAGGGAGTTTCTTCGCTTTACTACTATTTGCTTAAGAAACCCTCAAAAAATAAAAATAATAATCCCTATATTACCACCATAAGGAATATATTTTTTATTTTTTGTGGGTTTCTTACGCAAATAGTAGTTTATAGTCTCAGGCTCAAGTCGTTTGAAAAGGTCGCAAAGGTCGAGCATTCCTGCTGCGGAGTAGCTCCCAAGCCACAAAAACCCCCCCAATACAAAAAGACCGCAAGCCCTAGCCCAAGGCGCGCAGCACACTTGCCGGCCTCCGTCAGGAGCGCTAGGCCGACTCGATGTATGAACCTCTGCATCAACGCTTAAACAGGGTGCGCACGAGTCGCCCCCACACCTTTCGGAGTTGGAGCATCAACACCTATGCCCCGCCGAGCTTTTTTGCAACCTGTATGGCAAAAGCGACCATCCGTCGAGGTTTGAACAAGATCTGCAAGCCAACTTTGGGCCAAGCAGCCTCCAGGGTTTCTGGCTTTCTGCATTGCCAGAGTCGTTTGGATCTACTATTGGACCACATGCACATGAATGCAGCAGCGCTGACTTTGCAGCAGAGCACTATGAGTCTGCAAATCCTCCGTCATGGCAGAACTGAATTGCGACAAACAGCTCATATAGCGGCCTTAATAATCAGAATGGGTTTTGAAACCCTAAACCCTAAACCCTCAATAATCAGATGGGTCTTGGAGTTTAGTGCAGGATAATTATAATAAGGAGCCCCTTTGGGCTTCCCTATAACTGCGATTAGTATTATATTGTTTGTTATTATGATTAGTGTGTTCAGTTTTCTTGCTTTTTTACGTAATTCTTAGACGTCAAACCGTTTCTGCAGCGATCCACCATGGGCGAAGCGGTCCTGCGCTGCCCAGGGCACCCCGCTGGAAGCGCCGTGAGATGCGGCTTGACCAGGAGAGTTCGGGTTAAGGGTTTGGGGGGTTTGGGGGTTTAGGATTGAGGGGTTCAGGGTTGATGGGTTTGGGGGTTTAGGGTTGAAGGGTTTAGGGGTTCCGGGTTTAGGGTTGAGGGGTTTAGGGTTTAGGGTCTCTGCAGGTGGCTGGTTTTTCGTTATAGGATCGCACAGTTTGGTATATTACGGCCCACGATGGTTTACATTGGATATTCTATGACCGTATGTTGAAGTAGCTTATAAGGCAGTGAGGCCGCTTCTCATGATGCATCCGGCTGGATCTTGAGAATCGCATCCAGATCTTGCCTTGGTCAACAGGTTCGGGGGCCCTGCTCTTTTCAGGGGCAGTTTTGGGTTCAGGCTTTCGAGTCAAGTAGCGGGACTCCGTACATGCAACCGTCCTGGGCAAGTACACCTCCTTGAAATTTGTTCCAACCTCAAGGCGGCAGCATCATGCAATGTGCTCCACAAGCCAAACGAAGGTCACAAGGGATCGCTTGCATTTGGGGCCATCTAACCGAGCGGCCAGCAATGGGATCGCCTCGGACGACGGACACCCTGTCGTCCTTGATCCTCAAGACGTGCTGAGCCCATCCTCATTTCACCCATATGGCTGCACAGCAGATTATATGTTGAAGCTGCCTGGCCTGCAACCAACTCCGGTCTAGGCTTCTGTAACATAGGGGCCTTAATAATTAGAATAGAGTTTCGGGAAGTGGTTTTGGGACCCGTATGGACCCAATACACTATACTTTTAATAAGGAGCCCCCAAATAGTATTGGTATTTATTAAGGCCCCTACATTAAGCTGACAAGTGTCTCGGGATGAAGTACACAGCTCCATCAGGGCCGAGTACACCACCTTGCCACATGTTTCTCCCCTTGAGCGGTACCTCAGCCGACCAACCAAACACATGTGCATGACCAGGGCATTGCCTATAAGCTGCGAGAACAGTAGTCATGCTGCCAGAATAGTATGTAGCATTGTAAGGTGTAGGGGCCTGCTCACCAAGATTTTCCTAGGGTTCCTCATCATACATATAGTATGCTATACCTGAAAACCCAATTGTAAATAATCACGGCCCCCGTATCCCTCAACCCGAAAACCCCAAAAATCCTAAGCCCTAACCCGTAAATCCCTACTGTAAACTTACTATGCCCAGGACCTTTCTTACCTCCTGCTACCCAGAGAGCCCAATACCCCTTAACTAGGGAATATAGTTTAAATCATAATATGAAACCCCTTATAATTTGAGCCATATTCCTCAATTAAGGGGTATCGGAAACCCTAATCCCTATAGATCTCTTTTGGGCCCCTTTTAGAGAAACCCTGCTTGTGCAAACACCGGCGCATCGATCAACTCCACGTCCTCTGCGTCGGGAGAGATCCTCTGTCGAAGCAGCGGTTGGGGTAGTTGCTGTAGCAATGGCAGTAGGTGTTGTGGTGGTGGTGGTGGTGGTGGTGGTGGTGGGGGTGGCGGTGGCGGTGGCGGTGGTGGTGGTGGTGGTAATGGTGGTAATGGTGGTAATGGTGGTGGTAATGGTAGTAGTAATGGTAGTGGTAATGGTAGTAGTAATGGTAGTAGTAGTAGGAGTAGTAGTAGTAGTAGTAGTAGGAGTAGGAGGAATAGTAGAAGTAGTAGCAGCCCTGCGAAGCCATGGACTACAAGGCACCCAATTTCAGAAACACTTTATTCATGACATTGCCAAGCACGAGGTGTTGACGCGAGCTTCTGCTTGCTTCAGGTTTCATTTAAATTATGGCCATCCAGGTGTCTTCATGATCGACTGTGCGTTGTACGGGATGCCGTAGATGCAGCCGTTGCTGCCAAGCACAGCCCCAAGCCACTTGTACTTGCCAGGGAAAGGGCCTCCTGCGTACCATGCCAGGGGAGCTGAAACGTCCCACCTTCTGCTCTTAACAAATTTATAGTGTTACATAAAACATGGTATTTCGCATTCAAATATACAGTGTTCTGTATTGTAATATAACTACGGCAGGAACCCAGGCCACATCCTCATGTACATGATTTGGTCCCGGGTCCTATGGTCTTAACCTCGCCGGTGGCAGGAATGACCTTGAGAACTGTCTCTGCATGGGCAGGAATTCCATATATGGCTCCATCTGAACCAACCACCCCACCATGCCACTTCCAGCTACCCTCCGGCAAGTTGCCGATGGTGGTCACCTTGCCTGGCAGGGCTGCTCGCAACTCTAGGAAGAGGATCTCCATGTTGCATATGGTCTGGTCGCACAGCATGCAGCAGCAGCAGCAGCAGCAGAAGCACCCGCATAGAATTTCATCTTCATCCTGCTCATCCTCCGTCATCGTCATCATCATCATCACCATGATAATCGTCATCATGATCATAATAATCATCATGGCAACCTCCGCCATTCGCGATCCATTTCCTGGAAGCAAAGTTACACGGATCCTAGTTGCCTGGTGCGTGTACGTAGTGCATACTTGTTTTGTAGAGTGTACTTGTTGTTGCTTCTGATACCAAGCAGGACTCATTCCGAATTCTGCCTGTTTGAGGGTCGATCTTCAGCACGCTGTTGGCATAGTACGGCATTCCGTAGATGCAGCCATCAGAGCCCAGTAGGCCTCCGTACCATTTCCATCGTCCGGGCATTTTGTCACCTATTGTCTCGGCTCGATCACTTTCCGGGTCAATTCGCAGAACCGATTCAGCTTCGGCTGGAATGCAATAGATGGCACCATCCGGCGCAACAACAGCTCCATGCCATTTCCACTTCCCCTCAGGCAGACTGCCGAAGGTGCTAACCTCTTTCGTGGTAGGCGAGATTTTCAGCACTGACTTTGCACGCGCTGGAATTCCAAAAATATTGCCGTTGCCTGCCATCAGACCCCGGGACCATTTGAAGGTGCCCCGTTCCGCGAAGCTTCCGAAAGTAGATATGTGACTGTCCGAGGTGGAGATCTGAAGCACTGCATCTTTGTTACAAGGTATACCTCAGAGTTCTTGTGCGGTACGCTTCATCCAAGGACATACATATCACAGGGCCTCCTTTTAAGCTGGACTTACTCCATCTGAAGAATGACTAGTCGCAATAGATGTTGCCATCTAGGCCAAGCACGCCGCCCAGCCATTTGTTTTTGCCTGACAGCAGCTGGCTGCCCCGATGAAGGAGGCTCGCGCTGGCGCGGCAGCAGGTCCTGGAACCCCAAACTCCGAAACCCGAACCCCAAAACCCTACCCTTAGGGTACTATAGGGTTCTATAATAGGGTTCCCTTAAGCCTCGCTTTACGACCCTGAGCGCTAAACCCTGAACCCTAATCTTCACCCCTCCTGGAATACTAAACCTTGGGCTCTCTGCCCGGGACTCTGAAGCAGGAAACCTAGGCCCTACCTGACCCCCAGAAACCTACATCTTTCCGGTTCCTTCATGCTTTCCAAGTATACAAGTCAGTCAGACTCGCCCGAAACCCAAACCACACCCCAGACCCCCAAAAGTGGGTAAAATAATGGCCCGAAACCCATAAACAGGCCATTATTCCACATACTTTTGGGGTCAAGGAAGAAGCTGCCTCACTATGCGGGAGCCGCCGGGCGATGGGTGACTGAACCATGTCCGGCCGGGAACCCAGGCCACAGCAACATGAAGCCCGAAGACAAGAGCCTGGAACTTGTTTTCTCACAGAAAAAGGAGGAACCCTTAAAAAGGACCCCTAAGTATAGAACCTTAATATAGCTATTATATACCCATTATATGGTCCATTATATAGTACTGGGCTTTTAAGTAACCAGGGAGAAAAAAGTATAAACTTTTATTTCATAAGGGTTCCTTTAAGAAAAAAGTATTAAAGTATGGTACTCCAAAGCCCAGGGTAACGATCCCCATTAAGGGTCCCTCCTTTTGCCCTTGGATTTTGTGGTTTATGGGTTTGGGCTTTCGGGTTTAGCCCTAAACCCTAAACCCCCAAACCGTAGGGCTTTTCATGAGGAAGTCGATGGTGCCATCAGCAAGGAGGGGCATACTCTCTATTGGTGGAAAATTTCCGTTGCGGCACTCTACTTTGAGGCCCAGGGGACTTAGTAAGCAGGTTGTAAGTAGAGCTATAAGTACCCTAAATGAGCAGTACTTTTTTGGGGGGTTCGGGCTGTTCTTATATCACTGGTGACTACTCCGCTGGATCCCTGATTTAGATGGGGCGCGGGGCTACGCAAGTGCATCATGGAGCAGCCTTGCCTACGCAGCCTACACGTGCGCACTGTGTAAAGGTCGAATGCATGGTAGGGTTTTCAAGCAACCAAGCTGATTTCTGGAGTTTTTGGGCTGGCCTCTTCTGTATTTACTAGCGAAATCCCGCACGCAACGTGCTTGTTTCCATTCTCCTAAAGACTGCCAGAAAACATGCTGCTGCTTCCTCCTCTGATGCCGCACGGGACAAAAAGCTCTCGGACCATTCTGCTGAGATTTTGGACTTCTGCTGCTTGCTCAGATCATTCCACGTTTTGGTTGTCGGGGCCATGGCATCTTTGATGCTAGCTGAACAAGCAACACCCTACACACCTTTTCAGGGCTATTTGGGAAAACAAACAATGTGCACGAGCTGCTCGACACTGCTTAAGATCAGGCTAGAAGGAGGAAGGGCTAGGAGAGGCAAAAGCACTACCATGGCTACGCGCTCCCGACGCTTTGCCTACGCGTGGCCTACGCGAAATGGCACTGTCAGTCCGACAATTTGGGTGGATTTGGCAACTGCGATACGAGGCTGGTTGGTCTGCACACAAAGAAGGTTCCGCGTTTACGAAAGCGATACTTGCTACAATCTAGGTGCTTTAGACGTTAGAAGTCCCGACTGCAAGCTCGGATCTTTCCGTTCAGGGTTTTGGGAAGTCCCTACTGCAAGCTCGGATCTTTCGGTGCCGGCCTTTGGAAAGTCCCTACTGCAAGCTCGGATCTTTCGGTTCAGGCCTTTGGAAAGTCCCTACTGCAAGCTCGGATCTTTCGGTTCAGGGCTTTGGGAAGTGCGTACTGCAAGCTCGGATCTTTGGGTTGAGGGCTTGGAAAATCCCTACTGCAAGCTCGGATCTTTCGACTGCGCGCACGCCTACGCAGCCCTTGCCCAACAAAAACCCTACGCGGGACTATGCTCCCCAGCTAAAATGGCTACGCAAGCACGTGAATACAAGACCTCCTTACATCGCGTAGACACGGCCAAAAAAACTCTACTCAAATGGAGTTACCCCAATTGGAACCCTACTTATAACCGACTTACTAAGTCCCCTGGGCCTCTAAGTAAACGAAAAAACCCAAACCCCTTTTCGTTCTGTAATAATACACCCTTGTCCGTTTAGAAATAATAGACCGAGCCCTATATCCCCTAGTAGTAAGTAGGAATTATTCAAGACCTTGAAAAAGGACAAGGCTGTTCTTTAAAGCGCATCAAAGCAGCTCCAAACTGCAGGGCCGCTTTCTGCCTCTTCGCCATCTGGACACCGAGCGCGGCCAGACTGAAGACTTTACTATAGGGGTCTTTAACATTAAAAATAGGGTTTTGGGGTCTACTATACTATAATCATGATAAGGAGCCCGCCAAACTAGTATAGGTAATTATTGACGCCCCTATATTAGGGTTTTTTTGGGGGGTTATCAAATTAGGTGTATCTTAGTTGGGAGAATCCTGCTATTTGGGATCTACTCGAGGGTCGGTCATGATGAGAAACTTGCAAAACCTAGCACACGGCAGAATCACACGCCGCGGCTGCATTTCATTATGTCAATTTTAGGGTTTAGGGCAAAGAAAAAAGATTTGACTACTTCCCCGTCAGTACGGGACCCACTTCACACACCTCATGCATGGATGAATCAGGTCGGCGGCTGATCTGCTTGAGAGAAGATATGCAGCGCACAAGATAAGCAGGTGTCTGGACACACACCGCAATCTCAGCGATTAGTGACTGCTTTTGCTGCAACTCGGGGCAGTTCTAAGGTGATAAACTGTCGTTGGCCAAGATTGCAAATCTTAAACCCAACAAACCCTATAAGCCCTACAAGCCCTAAGCTCTAGATTCCAAACCCTGAACCCTAGACCCTCTTCTTGCTGCTCATGACAACCCCTCAGCCAGGTGATAGCGCCGAGCATCCGGCTTCATCCCGCGGCACAAAAACTGATCCCAAACCTGCATCACTTGGTGGCTTCTAGCAACTGGGGCAACCTATACATCTTGATCTTAGCCTTACGGAGATTTCCACACTTTCCGAGTGACTGGGGTCCAAATAGAAGGGCACTCCACATTCTGAAAACTCCCACATGGTCCCGAAGCATGTCGCAAGCTTGTCGTAAAGGCGTACATGCAAGTTCAAGCGGCGTGGTTCACGCGATGTTCTCATGGCTTCATGCTGAACCGTAAACTAAACCCCTCATTCCTAAACCCTAGACCCCTAATTAAATCTCAAACTCCAAAACCCCTAAACCCCTGAACTTCCTGAACTCCCTAAACCCCTAAAACCCCCTATAAACTCCCTAAGCCCTAAACTCCTATATAATTAAACCCTAAAAACCCTAAGACCCCCAAAGGCCCAAAACCCTCAACCGGTTGTCCTGAGATGTCTTGAGGCTGCAGCTCTGAGCAGTTGCGGAAAGGGAAGCGAATAGGCGAAGAGCGTCAAGAACCTTCCGGACAATTTTTTAGGTTCTTTTTTTAAGCGCCCCTTTTTCGACCAGCAGATCCGTTTGCTCATCGGAATTTGTAGGGTTTAGGGTTTAGGGTTTGGAAATCCAGCCCAAGAGGGTTCTTATAAAACCCTCTAGGTAAGAACCCTCCGGCCAAAAAGGGGTGTTTAGAAGAATCTTCTATGTAAGAACCTTCCGGCCAAAGCACCAATGATCAAACACCCTTGGCAGAAACCTTTTAGTTACTTATATGGGCTATTTCAGGTAGAAGAACCTTCCGGGCAAAGCAACACCTTAGCAAGGCGAAGTCAAGGTCCACCAACGATACAGCACCCTTGACAGAAACCATTAGAAACCCTTTACATACTTATGAGGTGTATTTCAGGTCGTAGAGGTCACAGCAGGGGCACTGATAACTCGGACCAGTTTGGGGGGGTTTTTATAGTTCAGCAACTACAATGAAAAAACCCTATATACTGGTCTTACGCCTTGGCTTCTAAAATAGTTGAAATGCTCTAAATAACCCTAAACCCCATTAGGGTTTAGGGGTTTAGGGTTTAGGGTTTAGGGGAGATGTACGCTCCAGCCCCGACCATGGCCCCGCCACTGCGTGGCGTAGAACTCTGCGCTGATGTTGAAGCGATCGAAGGTAGCTGCAAGATCCGGCAAGTATGCCTGATCGAGGTATATACTTTGGCCCCAATGTACCTATATAGGGAATACTTTAGGGCCAATGTATATACTATTTAGGTACATGGACCCTTAGGGTTGTGTGACTATTTGACATCTCGAGATAGCCCAAGTTCAGTTTATGATGCGCCAATGCTTACCTAACTTGTATAATCAGTACATTGAGTAGCATGTATACATAATCAGGTATGAACACAAAGACATACAAGTATCAAAGCCTGTTTCTTAAACACACATAGGAATATATCTGTATACATGCATATGTATATACACATGTGTACATACATACGCACAATCTCTTTCTCTATCTACATATATATATATATACACATGTGTATATATATATATATGTATATGCACACACATGCTTACATACACTTCATGTATGTGTCCATCCATACATACATACATACATACGTCAAGCCGCAGCCATACATACATGCATGCATGAACTCATCTATACATTCTACACGGTACATGCATGCATATCTGTATGCACGCTGCAGTATCCATTGCAAATTGTCCGCGAGTCATTGAGTTTTGGGAGTTGGAGGCTCTAGGATTCAAGGAAGTGATGTTTAACTTAAAATAACGCAAGGCATGTTGCCTGAAGCCCTCCATCCCCAAATTCCTGGCAGCAGCGGTGTGTAGTGGCTTGGGGCACCCGGAGCCACAACTGGTCTTAGCTTCGCAAGGTTTGTTGGAGCTTCAGAGGTGGTGGGGCCTGCAACACCTCAGGTCGGAACTTCAAATAGCAACAAGTAGCTACCGCTACCTTGCTTCATAGCTGCCCAAGAACCCTTGGAACGCTGTAAAGCCATCATGAAACAGTACGACAGTGCCCTTCAACAACACTGCTTATCCCAAACTCTTAACATCCTATGTATCCATGACAGTTAAGGAAAAACTGCTTGCCCGGAGGCTCTTCATTAGCATTCAGGCGCCCTGAACCCTACTAGAGGCCCCCCAAGCCCCAACATCGCGTAGTTCCTCCAAATCCCAGAAGCCCTCACCCTTCGGCCCGCCGAATTCCCACTTCGCTTTTTTGCACTTCTGCACGAGGATGCAGCACAAGGTCACTCCTTGCTGGCCTCGATTCGCGCCTCCAGCTCCTCTCTTCTTAAACAAAGGATCAGCGGACTTCAGTATGTTCTCGAAAAAGCTAGAATTGCCCTACTTAGGCCTGTAGGACGTATAAGCATACTTTTCACTTACAACCACGTTGCGAAGCTCCTTGATTCTGTATTCCCTGTCGTTGATACCGTATGATGCCACCAGGGCGTTCATACATCTTGAAGGCGCTTGAAAGCTCGCCATTTCTATGGCTTGAAAACCCCGAAACCGCGAGGAACGTAAGACACAAACAAGAACACATATACACAAATGCGTACGCAGACAGAAGCGGACGCAAACGAAGCTAGAAGGGAGGCAGGCAAGGCAAGAAACAGGAAACATCATACGCATACGAACTAGCCAAGCGAAAAGTTCACAGATACACAGAGAGAGAGAAGCAAACAAAAGGCACGGCAACACGATATACTAAGGGCCTTCACAATTAGAGTAGGGTTTCAAGGAAGTAAGAAGAAAACACATGCAAGGCGAGCAAGCAAGCAAGAGAACAGGCGATACATCACAGGCTTACTTCCACACACTGAGTTACGTTCTTGGACAAGGCAAAGACTACAGCCTGCATGGGATACCGGATACCGCAGGCATGAAGCTGGCTGTTGCTGCCAATTTCGCACCAGTAATGTGTCAGCGGTCAAAGGTGTAGAAATCAACAGCAGGTGCACAGGTATGGCGGCATAAGGAGGGAACTTCTTCATAATGACCGTGTTAGAAACATGCAAAACTCCGAAAACCTGCCCCCTGAGTTCCAGCTGTCCCTCGCCCTCTGCAATGTCCTCCCATGCCCGCCAGTATGCGATGGTGGCGAGTGCAACCTCCAGAATTCACAAACGTAGTGTCGAATATATCGCAGCTCTTGGTCTTGGACGGGTTTAGTGTTTGGGGGTTTAGGGAAATATGGGGAAATAGTAGCAGACCTAGTTCTGGCATGATTCGGTCAACAAAAGCAACAAAAATGGAACCCTTCTAGCCAGCAGCAGCTTCAGTAGCAGATTCCCGCGATTTCGTACATAGGACTCATACACACGCACATGCACATACAAGTTATAGCAGTATACTTATGTATATATATATATATACATATATATATATATATATATATATATATATATATATATGCATTTGTATGTGTATATATATATATATATATGTATATATATATATATATATACATATGTATATATATATACATACATACATACATACATAGATACATACATACATACGTACATACATACACACATACATATACATATATATATATATATATATATAGACATATATATATATATATAAACTCGTAGAGACACTCTCAGAGAGTAGCAGAACCTCGGACACTCCCCCCAAGACGGAGGAAACACTTGGCGGTGGGTCCTCCTGGATTTGACTTCACGCAGGGATGCTCGAAATAATGATGAAAAACTAAAACTAACATTGATACTAACATTATTACTAATACTGATACTAATACTAATACCAATACGAATACTAATACTGATCCTACTAAGACCTAATCCTACTAAGACTTTTTCACCCAAAAGGTCCAAGTATCATTCTGGTATATACTTATAGGGTATTGTGGGGGTAAAAAACAGCCCTAAACCCGAAATCATTGACACCCAAGCCCTAAAACCGAAAAATGTCCCAAACCCTAAATCCGCGGAAAGCCTAAGGGGGCCTGAATAATTCGAACACGGTTCCTGTAAGGCTTCGGTAACGAATATACTATAAGGGCCTTAATTAATAGATAGAAGAGGGTGTTGAGGCCCATCATACTATAATTATAATAGAACCCCCCAAAATAGTATTAGGAGTTATTTGGGCCCCTCTAGTCTACAAACGGTACAATCTTCGGTTCAGGGCTCAGGGTTTAAGGTCCGGAACCCCATTCTCAGCCTATCCGGGTCAAAAATAGTTAGGCCCCCACAGAAATCCCGATTATGGTATAATGGGCCTCAAAACACTATTCTGAACATTCAGGCCCCTGTAGTATAATCCAAGATCCCCCAAATCCCATAAACATATGGATGGTTCTCTAAATCAAGGTTCGTTTTAGTATGGCACCCTTGTTCAAAGAAGGTCCCGACAAGGGACCCTGCCCTCGTTTGGAGAGATGCCCATATCAAATTTAGTTAGGCCCCTACAGTACCCTAAACCCTAAACTCTAAACCCTAAACCCCCAAAAAGGCCCTAAAAACACTTCATAAACTCGCCATGAAGATTCAGGGGGGCCTCACAGCTCTGGGCCACCAGTGCGTCCGGGTCGTCGAGGTACTGACCTAATCCCAAACGAAGAAGTGGTCTGGTAAAGGGTGTTTTTACAAGTTCTGTCACTGTGGCCTTAGGAATTTTGTATGGATTGAGTGTGCATTTGTTGGGCTCTCTACGGATTTGACGAGTTTCCAAAAACTCGTGTAAGGGTCAACAGGTGGATGGCATTGCTCAAGAACTCGCTATTCATGCTGATCATCAATGCACGGCCGCATCGTTTTCCGTGTTTCGCAGAACACTTCGGTCTGTCGGAGAGAGCCCATTTCCACGTAAAATGGACGATTGATGACAGAACACTGGCAAACCCTGTATAGTCTGCGGTGCTACCGTACATTCCCTCATTCAGGGTTGGAATTGGGATCTCCGGGGAATCTGTCAAGACGTCGAGAATCAATGCTCCACGATTCGCGGCAGTGGAGAGGACTCCGGCACTCACGCCGGAGCATAGTGCGAGGGCCAACATCTTCTTTTCAGAGCCAGCGGAAGCATCCTTGCTTCCGGCAGCTCCGCTCCAGCTTCAGTCAAGCACAGCGCGTGCCAGTCCGGCCCGTCTCACGGTCCCCAGTCTGGTCTCCCGCTCTTCAAGAGACCAAAAAAGGCGGCTCCACCGCGCAGCTCTTGCGATAGTTGTGGGATAAGCTTAGTCGTACACTAATTTAATTCCAGATCTAGGGGTCCTTATCATCTGAATCCCATTACTGGGAGAATCAGTATCTATTGTGGGCCTAGTATCTGAAACCTTAAAGGTTGAACTCCCAACCCTAAACCCAAAGCCTAAAAACCCTAGACTCCACCATTGCCCTTAGCAGCTCCGAACTAAACTAGCTTCAGGTTGGCAGGCTTCAGCGCCTTCACACCATGCTCCAGGAAGTCAATCCGAATGCGATCGCCCTGCTCTCCCAAGACCTGAGCGTTCTCGAGTTTAGGCGGTTTAGGGTTTAGGATGCGGGATCCTTATTACACGTAGAGTTTAGGCTTTTTCTGCCTTGGTTACTTGATGAGTTCCTTTAGCCCTGGAGTAGACCCTAAACCCTAGTCAAAATCCTTTAAAGACCCTCTGCCACCTTGCCCTGGAGTCCATTGAAGGTCGGCGCGGAGAGGGAGTGGGCCTCCACCGTTGCCCCAACGGGAAAGTCCAGAACTCCTCGGCTCGACATGTTTAGGGTTTTGAGGGTAACTGGTTTGGGAGGGGTACTTAACAGGACCTGCTTTCCAGGGTTTTTTCGGGTTTCGGGTTTAGGGCTTTTGGGTTCACGCTTTTTGTGTTTTGGGGTGTCTGGGGGTTTAGGCTTAGGGCTGAGAGGGTTTGGGCCTTGGGTTTAGGGATCTCTGGTCCTGACTGGTGCAAGGATTATGACGGGCAGTTGTCAGTAGGATCCCACGTGGGCAAAGCATTGGGGGGGTTATGTAAAGCTACGGCCACATAACTGTGCGTATCTTCCCATCACCCTCTGCAGAAAGCGATGGGAATTCAGACAAGCCAAGCCACGACGGGTCTGCCAAGCAAGCAGCGGCGTTGCGACGACAGAGCCGTACGAACGGGTTTAGGAATCAAGCACGAAAAGCTCCGCTTTCGCGCAAGTACTTCATGCCTCGTGCAAACACAAGGACGAAGGACAGCTGGGAATAATTAGCACAAGGACACGAACACGAAGAGAAGCAGTGTGACCTGCCAACAGCAAGATTAGTATGGAGAGCAGAACACGGAGGAACGACAAGCAGTAATGAAGGCAAAGGGGAAGCGGCAAGGGGACGAGCAGCAGCAACTGAAGAAGCTACTGCACCATTGCAGCGTCGTATCGCGCAATCATTTCTTGCGCTTGGCAGTATCCATGTCAGTCGGTGCACCATGCAATGCAGTTACCTACAGTCCCCATTGTAGTTCCTTTTTTTGGTTAACCAAAATCTCCATTATAGGATCCTAACCATAATAAAATTGGGTAACAAAAAAAGGAACTACAACGGAGACTATAGGTACCGGTTGTGAAGCACCAGCAAATCACATTTGCAGTGGCAACGCGAGGCCCGGGGCTTGTCTTATGATCTACACTTGAAAGCACTTTCGACAACTCGAAAAGCTTGCATGTCGAACATTCACGTGAAGCCTAAGCGGATGGGCCAAGAAGGTGCAGCACACCCTCGAACAACCCAAATCCGTAAACTGAACTCCTAAACCCCAAGCCAAAGCCTACACCCGAAACTACAATCCTAAACCCTAAACTAAACTAAACCCTACACCCTAAACTAACACCCCCTAAACCCCTAATGAGAGCTCTAACCCTCCAGTCCCTTCAAGCGAGGCTCCTTTCTCCGGCTCCACGTCCACGATCTTCAAGTTCCCGGGCTTCAAAGCCTGCGCATAACACAGCGAAGGCTTACGGTGTAGGGGAGGGTTTAGGCTAAACCCTCCCCTAAAGCCAAACCCTCCCTGTGTCGGGTTTAGGGCTTATGGCTTAAATTTAGATAACCTGGCATGGCACTGCTATCGCTATTCCGATCACCATCTTCGAGGCTTTCCTCAACCCAAAGCCCTAAAGCCCTAAACTCGAAACCTAGGTTCTAGCCCATCAGGTCCTTCGGACCTAATACTCAGGTACTCGGGTCTAGGATAGCAGTTTAACCGATTAGTACTTGATGTTACTACTTGTATCATGAAATTCTTGCACCTGTAGGGTAGAGTTTGGAGTAAAACTGGGCCTACAAACACATCAAACCCCGAAACTCTGACCCCCGGAGTTCTTGAAGCATCCCGGTCTGCGCTGCCTTCTCGCCGTGCTCCCCAAGAGACACTCGGAAGCGATCTCCTTGAGGTCCCAGCACTCGCCCCTGATATGAGTTTAAGGTTTACCTGGACCCCAAAAGCATGTAGAATAATAGCCTTTTAGAGGAGCAGTGCCATTATTTTACCTACTTTTGGGGGTGTAGGTAGGAGCTAGGGAGTTAGGGTGTAGGGTTTTAGGGTTTTAGGGTTTTTGTTGGGTTTAGGGCTTTGTGGGTTTAACCAAGTTAAGGGTTAAGACAGGATCCTTGTTTAGCAAGACTTAAGTCCTTAAAGGGCTTTAACTATCTTGATGTCTCATAGGGGTTCTAGGCTTGGGGCGTGCATTGAGGATCTTCGTAAGCAAGGGAATATTCATTCCGACAGTGTGATCGCACTTTGGGCTTCTGATGTTGCAGCTGAAAGGATTAGATCGAGGACGCCCGAGCTGCGCCCTGCGCCCCGTCAACTCCCGCGGTGATCCACGCAATCCATCTTGATAATGCTATACTTGCCACCAAGGAATAGGGGATATTGGGAGTGTGTCGCTGCGACGACGGACAGCAGCCTAGAAGCATTCCTCTCGCGATAAGGATCAGTATTGTATACACACCCTGCTAAACCCCAGCTCAACAAAACAACAAATACTAAAAATCCTAAAACCCGAATATAGAAACCCCAACGGCCTGTATCCCATTCATGATCCTCAAACCCGAAAATCGAAAGCCCAACGGCCTGTATCCCATTCATGATCCTCAAACCCGAAAATCGAAAGCCCAACGGCCTGTATCCCATTCATGATCCTCAAACCCGAAAATCGAAAGCCCAACGGCCTGTATCCCATTCATGATCCTCAAACCCGAAAATCGAAAGCCCAACGGCCTGTATCCCATTCATGATCCTCAAACCCGAAAATCGAAAGCCCAACGGCCTGTATCCCATAAACAATCCTAAAACCCGAAAATCGAAAGCCCAGCGGCCTGTATCCCATTCATGGTCTCCGTGGACAGAGAGTGCGTCTCTACCATGGCCCCGGCTGGGAAAGCGACCTCGAAACTCGCGGCCTCCCGTGGTCGAGCTGCGCCGGATCTTTCTTAGGCAGCCTAATATAGAGGACTTAATAATTTCACTAGGGTTCTGGGGTATATAATAAGAATTTAATAATGATAATAATAATAATAATACAGAAATATTAATAATAAGAAACCCGCACAGTAGTATTGAAACTTGGTACAAGTAATTTATTTAGGCCCCCTATATTAGTTTGGTAAGGGGTCCGAGACTCTTGGGCCTTAAGCACGTATATTGGTCAGAAGCCGATAGCAATTCACCCTGAGGCTCAACATAGCCCAAAAGCCTTACATTTTGTATGGTCTTTGGGCCCAAAAGCCTTAATATACCAGTCCTTAGAGCCTTAGGGTCAGTCTCAGATATTGGGCGCTCCCTTGCCTGCTCCAGCAAAGCTTTGACCTCCTGCTTCCATGCCTCGAAATACAGAGCCCAACAGTCGTTGTGCCCAGCACCTGCAGCAAGTCTGCTCAGGGGCCTATGAGCGACCTTTTTAAGTACAGTCCTTACATACGGGTTCTGCAGCGAGCAAGTGCCCTAAACCCTAAACCCAAAACCCTAAAGTGCCTATCCAGCATTGCAGCTTCTTGCTCCCAGTCGCCAGCTTCTCATGGCACTGCACAGCCTGCTGGTAAGGCACGATCTCGTCTTTGTCCCCATGCATTACAAGGACCGGGCACCCAACGGATGACAGCTTGCCCAGCGTATCGAAGGGCTCCGGGAGCATGGCAAACTTCTCTGTCTGACCTTGAAAGACCATCGGTGCCAGCATGCTCACCGTTGGTATCTGCTTGATCGACATTAACCCCGAATCCACGATCAGCCCATGTACTCGTCGCGCCTGCTTTGCTGCAAGGTGCACTGCGCAGGTGGCGCCGATGGAGCGGCCAAGCATAACCCTCTTGGCCTCACCCACCCCGGCAACCTGCAGCAACGCTTCACTCTGAAGGAAGCACTGCTCTGCATCCGGGCAAAGCTTCTTCAGACTGGGCTGGCCCGTTCCCCAGGCATATCCCCGGTAGTCGACGGACAGCACGGCCGCTCCACAGGAGTGGAGCATCTCGGCGACGTCATCCAGGGCAGTGCAGACTTCTGCATTGCCATGAAAGAAATAGATCACGGCTTTTACGCCGGCTGCGTCCGGCGGCACATAGAAGCGGTAGCTGATCTTCGTGCCGTCGGACATCTCAAAAGTTCCATCCCTTACAGCTCCGGTGGAATCCAAGAACTGTGGCTCTGCCTTGCTAGGATGGAAGGCTATGCTGGTGACCATCGGGTTCTCCCATATCGCCTCAAGGCCTCCAGCTCCACCAGCAGCTCCCCCTAAGGCCCCCAGCAAGCCTTCCAGGCCCCCACCTTGGAAGTCCATGGCTCACAGGGCAGGGCCCTCAGGGAACCAACTCTGACCAGCACACACCACTACGTAGCCGAAAAGGCTTTCGGATTTGAGTGATGAGTGGTGACTCAAGGGCTGGGTAGCTATGAGGCCGCCAGGTGCAAACGAACGTATCATCTTGTCCCGAGCTGCGAAGTTCTTGAGGTTTGTCGACTTCTACAAACCCAGCCGCCCTGAACCACCGAGGGCCAAGCTTAAAGCCTTTTCGGCGGCACTGGTGCCAATGTTGCCCAAAGCGATGGCAGCCTGCAGCAGCTATTTCTGCATGCATGTAGGCATGTAACTGCATAATTAGCTGCCTGTATGTATGTATGCATGCATGTATCAGCATACATACTACATGATCTACATAACCAATCTATCCCGCCAGATGTATAGAAATACATGTGCAGTGTGTGTTTATACACGCGTGCATGCACGCACACATACCCATATGCACGTATATACACACACCCATGTTTGTCACATATTTTAGCATGATCATGGCAAGGGCTTAAAGTTTGGGGCCACCCCTTACAGTAACAAGCTGCGCTCTATCAGCTCGACGGAACTGGCAACACGCGCACCGTCTCAACAGCAAACGGCACATTCCGGAAGAACGACACGGCACTACCAGGATTCAGCGCACACAATACAAGAAGCCCCCATACCCTGAACCGCCCCAACCCTGCAGACCCTAAACCCACCCTGCACGGGAGTTTCCAAAAATCAGGGTTACCTTGTTCTGGGGTCTTTATACAAAGGATCCTAAAGTATTTGAGGTACTATATTACTGTCCCCTACTTTCGGAAACTCCCATATAGGAGTTTCCGAAAATAGGGAACCCTAATCTGGTACCCTAAATAGTCGGGTCCTTATTATAGGGACCCCCAAATTATGCACCCCTAATTTTCGTGAGACTCCCATATGTCTTCGTCTGATCGTCTCGAGGCCTCGTGGCGCACCATCCCATGCTCCTCGGTCTGCGCAAGCGCCTCGAATCAGGGTTTAGGGTTTAGGGATTGACGTCGGGCTTAGTGCCTGGACTTCAGATTTAAGATCCTACCAACACTAATGTTGGATACCGATTAACAAACCCCCCCCCCCCAAAATTGGCCCGCTTGAACTTGTTCATGGGTTCAAGTTTTTACCGGCCCCCCCCCCGATTAAGTAGTAGTACAGTAGTACAGTAGTACAGTAGTACAGTAGTACAGTAGTACAGTAGTACAGTAGTACAGTAGTACAGTAGTACAGTAGTACAGTAGTAGTATAGTAGTATTACAGTAGTATAATAGTAGAACAGTAGTTTAGTAGTAGTATTGAAGTCTAGTACTATTGTAATAATACTATACTACTGTACTGCTTCTATAGAAGCAGTACAGTAGTATAGTATTATTACAATAGGGGGTTGGGGGTTTGAAGGGGTTCAAGGACTTGAGGGGGTTGCGGGGGTTGAGTAGTAGAACAGTAGTATAGTAGTAGTACAGTAGTTTAGTAGTAGTATTGAAGTCTAGTACTATTGTAATAATACTATACTACTGTACTGCTTCTATAGAAGCAGTACAGTAGTATAGTATTATTACAATAGGGGGTTGGGGGTTTGAAGGGGTTCAAGGACTTGAGGGGGTTGAGGGGGTTGAGGGGTTTGGGGGTTCAAATGTGGCCGGCCATGAGCTTGCCATCAGCTCAAGAGTGCCCGCATAAGCGCCGCATCCCCACCCATTGGCCATGAGCTCCAACATGAGCGGCAACGAGGGAACCATGGGAACCATGGCTGAGAGACTGGGGCATGATTGGCAATTGTGAGTAATTACTTGGTTAATTACTTAGGATTGGGTCATTAGTAATTCATTAATTATTTGGAGCCGAGGATGGGCCAGCTGATGAGTCAGATCCATGGGTTGCTCCATAACATGGAGCGGCGAGCCGTCATGGGCCGGATAAGTAAGCATCTTTTGTATTTTAAATTAATTAGTTAATGAGGTATTACAGGTTTAATTACATTTGTCTTGAGCCAAGGACGAAGTCCATGGCAGTTTCCGCGATCGCCTCCGCCATGTTGCCACCAGGCTCATGGCGGGGCGATCATGGGTTTTGGTCAATTGGCAGTGGCTCGGACCGTCATTAGTAATTAATTAGTCATAATAAGAATGTAAATTACATATTTTAAGCTCTGAAGCCCATACATGAGGCAATGGCGCTGCGATCAGTGGATGAGAGATGAGCTCCTCCACACGTGGATGCTCTATGCTCCTCCCCTGGTATTAATTAGTGTTTTTTAAATAATAAGTAATTAATTAGGGTTTAGGGTGCAATTAGGATTGGGTTTAGGAGTGCTTCGGGTTTGAGTTCGTGCATGAGGAGCATGACATTGTCATGAGCCATCCAATGCTGCATCAGCACTGGCGCATCATATGCACGGTGGCATGGGTGGAGGCCCCTGGCAAAAACATAAAACCCCCCCCTAACCCCTGTAAACCCTATATAATTAACCCCACAACCATAACTATCCGAGTAACTATCCCTAAACCCTAAACCCTGCAGGTGAGCCTGGCATTGTTCCGGACCCATGAGTATGACAGCGATGAGTCTGGATGCTGCAGTAGTTCTTTTCTTTTAGATTAGGGTTTAGGGTTTAAGGTTTAATTAGGGTTAATTAAACCCTCCTAAGTAAACCCTACTTAACCCCTACTTTAATTAACATAATTAAACCCTAAGCCCTAAACCCAGGCTGTATGATCCTCGCAATGATGAGATCAGCGATAAGCACATGGTCATGAGCGAGGTGACGCAGAACATGGAGTCGGCCATGAGGACAGCCTTCATAATTGAGAGTAATTAGAGCCCAAACCCCATAAGGCCCAATTAACCCCCCCCCTTTCAGGACGGAGATCTTTGAGCTGGCATCATGGGAGACTGTGTGGGGCGACATGAGAGGCAGCTCAGGGAATAATTTAAGTATCAATTTTCCATAATTTGTTACGGTTAATAGATTATTGAGAAATAAGTTATGGTAATTTATTAGTTAGCTAGTAATAAGATTCAGCCGAGGCAAGCATTGGCTGATCAAAAGCTGGCACGGCATGGCCCGTTCCCACCATGAGCCGGCCAAATTCAGAGCATGGGTTGAGACCCATGGGCCAGAGCCCAAAGCGATCATGCGGTCCTACCATGGGCATTTCATGCCCATTGAGGCGGAGGCATGAGCCCTCAGCCCGGCCATGAGTCCATGAGGAGATGGGCTCGTATATGAGCCATAAGGCTGTAGATCCCATGAGGAGATGGGCTTTTTTAAAAGCACCCATGACGCCAGCCATGAGCTGCATTAATTAGTTCAGTTAGGGATAAGATTAGTCTTTGGGTTTGTTTGGGGTTTAATTAAGGTTTAGGGTTTAGGATCAGGTTAAGCTCGGCATAGCGCCGCATGAGTAAGTAATCAATGCATGAAGCAGCATGGCATTTTTCATGGGTGCGATGAGGGGATGGCTTTCTGATCTTCGCATGAGAGCAGCGAAACACATGGGGAGGGTTGGGCCCTTACTTAAAGGATCATGGGACTTAGTAATTAACTAGGGTTATAATTAGGGTAATTAACTATACTTATAACCCCAGTTAGGGTACTTATAACCTTACTTACTAAGTCCCATGATCCTCCAAGTAGTTAATGCCAAAACTCCAAACCCCATACTGCCCTTATCCCTAAACCCTTTAACTACACCCTAGACCCTCAACCTTAAACCTTAATTAAACCCTTTTAACTTAACCCTAAACCCTAAAACCCTAAACCTTAAACCCTTCGAAATAAACCCTACACCCTAAAACCCTAAACCTTAAACCCTTCGAACAAAACCCTAAACCCCAAAACCCTAAACCTTAAACCCTTCTAACCAATTAAACCCTCAAACCCTAAACCTGAAACCCTTCTAGCTAAACCCTAAACCCTAAATCCTTAAACCTTATATAAACCCTTGAAAATAACCCCTAAACCCTAAAAGCCCAAACCTGACACACTGCTGCGGGCATGAGCTGCATGAAGCCGCACAAATGCAGTGACTTAGATGAGCTGTGGGCATGAGCTGCATGACACCGCTTACATGCAGTGCTTTCGATCAGCTGTGAGCATGACAAGCATTGTGGATGAGCTGTGGGCATGAGTTTTTGATAAAATGTGATTTTGAGCTTTAGGCATTTGTTTCATTAAGTTTCACATTGTGCCTTTTTCATGACATAGGTTTTCAAGTGAGTGTGCATCTGTATCACGCCATGGTGTGGAGCATCAGTCTTCGTGAGCAGGTGACATGCCACAACAGGTTTGCCATCCTGTCGCAACCAGATGAGGATGAAGATGAGCTCATTGCTTTGAACGACATGTTCTTCGACTGGGATGAGCTGGAGAACAGGTGGAATGAGATGAATGAGCCTTGGGAGCTTCATGATTTTTCCTTCATGGGGAGGTTCTCATGGTCCGATGAGTCAGAGAAGACTGGGGTTGCTCAGCATGTTTACCAGCACGAGCATGTCAACAGCATGAGCCGCAGCAGTAAGGGCATGAGAGAAGTGAAGAAGCATGCTGTTGTGAGAGACAAGAAAGCAGCATGCAGTGAGCCCATGCCTCAGATCATGCCAGCTCCCATTCGAGATGAGGGCTTGCGGCAGAGGCTGCATGAGAGCATTCTGAGCATGCAGTTGACAAGGCATTCGCAGTACCATGCGATTCGCAGCATCATGAGAAAGGCATTCAAGACGCATGCGAAAAAGGAGCGACGACTCAAGCGCCAGCATGAGCAATTGAAGACCTCTGCATTCTTCGATTGGGACGAGTTAGATGCTGCTGAAGACAATGAGCTGAGCAAGCGATCAAACTCATGGTTCGATTGGGATGAGCTGAGTTCTGCTGAAGCCATCAGCAAGGCCAGCATGGGGAAAGCATGTAAATGTGCCTGTGATGAACATGTTTTCCGTCTCTGATATAACTATTCTCCAATCCTCATTCCTTATATCTCTGATATTCTCCAATCGAAATTCCTTATATCTCTGATATATTCTCCAATCCTCATTCCTTATATCTCTGATATTCTCCAATCGAAATTCCTTATATCTCTGATATATTCTCCAATCCTCATTCTTTATATCTCGGATATTCTCCAATGGAAATTCTTTACATCTCTGATATATTCTCCAATCCTCATTCCTTATATCTCTGATATTCTCCAATCGAAATTCCTTATATCTCTGATATATTCTCCAATCCTCATTCCTTATATCTCGGATATTCTCCAATAGAAAATCCTTATATCTCTGATATATTCTCCAACCCTCATTCCTTATATCTCTGATATTCCCCAATCGAAAGTCCTTATATCTCTGATATATTCTCAAAGCTTCGGGCTTTCTAGGTCAAAGCAAAGGGCCTGCAAATCCCTGGTCCCGGGCCGGACCCTGTTAATCGGGGGGGGTTTCCTGCTATTCTGGGGGGGGCGGGGCCTGCAAAGGGGTAGCCTTGGAAAACTTGACAAACCTAGTCTTTTTATATACGGTTTAATTAGGGAGCCACCTGTTTCTGGCAGCAGAAGATATCACCGAAATCCCAGGGATCCCAAGGCCAGGGATCTCTGACCCTTCCATCTCAAAGCTACGGGCTTTCTAGGACAAAGCCAAGGGCTTGCAAATCCCTGGTCCCGGGCCGGACCCTGTTAATCGGGGGGGGTTTCCTGCTATTCTGGGGGGGGCGGGGCCTGCAAAGGGGTAGCCTTGGAAAACTTGACAAACCTAGTCTTTTTATATACGGTTTAATTAGGGAACCACCTGTTTCTGGCAGCAGAAGATATCACCGAAATCCCAGGGATCCCAAGGCCAGGGATCTCTGACCCTTCCATCTCAAAGCTTCGGGCTTTCTAGGTCAAAGCCAAGGGCCTGCAAATCCCTGGTCCCGGGCCGGACCCTGTTAATCGGGGGGGGTTTCCTGCTATTCTGGGGGGGGCGGGGCCTGCAAAGGGGTAGCCTTGGAAAACTTGACAAACCTACTCTTTTTATATACGGTTTAATTAGGGAACCACCTGTTTCTGGCAGCAGAAGATATCACCGAAATCCCAGGGATCCCAAGGCCAGGGATCTCTGACCCTTCCATCTCAAAGCTTCGGGCTTTCTAGGTCAAAGCCAAGGGCCTGCAAATCCCTGGTCCCGGGCCGGACCCTGTTAATCGGGGGGGGTTTCCTGCTATTCTGGGGGGGGCGGGGCCTGCAAAGGGGTAGCCTTGGAAAACTTGACAAACCTACTCTTTTTATATACGGTTTAATTAGGGAACCACCTGTTTCTGGCAGCAGAAGATATCACCGAAATCCCAGGGATCCCAAGGCCAGGGATCTCTGACCCTTCCATCTCAAAGCTTCGGGCTTTCTAGGTCAAAGCCAAGGGCCTGCAAATCCCTGGTCCCGGGCCGGACCCTGTTAATCGGGGGGGGTTTCCTGCTATTCTGGGGGGGGCGGGGCCTGCAAAGGGGTAGCCTTGGAAAACTTGACAAACCTACTCTTTTTATATACGGTTTAATTAGGGAACCACCTGTTTCTGGCAGCAGAAGATATCACCGAAATCCCAGGGATCCCAAGGCCAGGGATCTCTGACCCTTCCATCTCAAAGCTTCGGGCTTTCTAGGTCAAAGCCAAGGGCCTGCAAATCCCTGGTCCCGGGCCGGACCCTGTTAATCGGGGGGGGTTTCCTGCTATTCTGGGGGGGCTTCCTGCCCTATTCTGGGCAGAGAAAAAGATAATCAATAAATGTCTTGCTTCTGCTTGTGCAGGAGAAGGCAGAAAGGGAGTACTGGCGAAGCATGATGCGAATGAGGGGAGGCGGTGATGAGTCGCAGCATGAGCAGGAGCAAGAGAATGAGGAGACAGCCATAGTCCTGGACGATGAGGACAAAGCCCTCTGCCAGACTCCTGTGGCACAGAAAGAAGCGGATGAGAGCATGAGCCCACCCATGGACCGTGTCAAGCGACAGCTGAGCTTTGGATCGGCTTCATCAGCCGAGTCCAAGCAGTCAAGGCTGCATAAGTTCTTCCGGTCTCCGTCATCCTTCTCTGACGACAGCAGCATCCATGAGACGCCCAGTCCGCCGCCCAAGAGGCCAAGAAATCGCATGGAAGACACTCTTCGTGAGATGTTGAAGAGTGGGCAGCTGTCGCTTGATGGGAAGAAGCTGACCCTGACAGCCCATGAGGATGTCATGCCCAAGCTGCAGCAGGAGGTGGGCAAGAAGTTTGGGAGGTTCGGAGGTCGGCCCATGAAGCCGGTCAGCGAAAGGAGAGGGATCATGGGTGGCCAGAAGTCCAACCGGAGAAAGGCCAATGAGAAACCTCGGCAGTTTGAGTTGTCTGTGTCCATGAAGAACCGCATCTGCCAGCAAATCTATGAGACCCGTGGGCACCATCCCGCTGAGCAAGACATGCTCAAGGCCTTTGCAAAGAAGAGCAAGATGAGGTTGGACAAGCTGCAGGACATCTGGGCCAACAGGAGCACATGGGCTCAGCTCGAAAAGAAGGACCATGGCAACATGATCGGTGGGGAGCATTCCAAGCAGAGGCCAAGGATGAGAGCAGAAGGTGCTGGTGCCAAGCGACAATTCCCTGAGGTCGTCCAGAAACTTGGCCATTGGCTTGACAAAGAACGAGCCCATGGTCATCAGGTGCTGCAGCGGCACCTGGCATGGCAGTATGAGCTGCTCCTTCAGGAACACATGGTTGAGCTTACGGAGCTGCTTGAGTCTGAGAAGAGTAAGGACATGAGCACAGAGGAGCGGCAGCAGCATGAGGTGAAGCTAAAGCTTGCAGAGAAGCAGATTGAGGCCATGCATGGGAGCGAGAAGCTGATGAACAAAAGGGCAAAGACATTGGCCACATGGCTTGGGGCTGAGACGAGGGTTCCAAACCTCGTGACCCAGATCAGTTCCGTGGAGCAGCAGGTGAGGGCTGAGCTCTCGTGGCAACACCATGACTGGTGCATTCACAAGGTGGCATCAGCAGATGAGGACTTCATGAGACAGTACTTTGCCAGGCCCAATGAGATCACCCCAGCCATTAGAAAGGCATGTGTTCTGGGCTTCTCCGATCAGGTGCCACTCTGGCTGAAGTGTGGGTCCAAGAAAGAAATCATGGCTTCATGGGAAGTAGCAGGCCTCAAGAAGAAGAAGCAGCATCCGCACCTGCATGAGCCGCAGCAGACCGCAGATGAGACACACCCGGCAGCTGAGGAGCCTCATGAGGAGTCGAAAGCTGAGGAGCCTCATGAGGAGTCGAAAGCTGAGGAGCATCATGAGAAGCAGCCACATGAGCAGGAGGAACCAGGTGATGAGTGGAAGCTCGCCATGCCAGATGAGAAGCATGAGATGGCCCATTTGACCACCCGTCGGCAAGAGAAGGCCGATAGGTACAGGGTCACATTTGAGGCCATGCAGCTCGTGAGTGGCTTCTTCGACCATGAGAAGACCCCCGAAGGCCACTGCATGAGAGGCATTCTGATAGTTCCCGGCCAGCATGCACGGTTGGATAACATTGACGAGCATGGGAAATGGAAAGAGGATGAGACATTCTTCTACATGGGTCAAGAGAGACGCCACATCAGAGGTGAGAGCTGCGGCCGAGCTCTCATCAGCTGGCGAAAGCTGCGAGATGAGATGCCACAAGCATTCCGGCATTTCTCCGTCATGAGCCAGCCTGCATCCAACAGCGATGGGATTTGCTTGCCATGGGTCATAAAGGATCAGGCTAGGCAGTTCCCATTGAGTGTGTGGATGAGGGATGCGTATGGGCCTGCATTCACATCAGATACGGTCAAGACCCTCTTCATGGGGCATCAGGTTCAGTCGAGCATCATGCCGAAGATGACATCAGCATTACAGCTCACTGATACAGATTTTTCACATGCCTTTAAGGCATCAGTGAGAAGAGCCATCGATGAGCAGAGCATGAGGCAGGCGGCTCGCCGGAATGAGGAGGATGGGCACCATGAGCAGCAGTTCCCGAAGATGGGCATCAAGGAGATGGCATTGGCCATCGACGCTGCCATGGAGCACATGATCCAGATGAATGAGAAGACGGAATGGGTCCTGGCTGGGCTCCGCCGCAATGGGTTCTTGGCCCTGAGACCTGATGAGCATGGCAAGATGAGGAAGTGCGATCACGAGGCATGGGCCAAGGACAAGCCATTGGGCTGCAAGAGGATCCATCCGACATGGGTCGCCAATCGGTATCAGCATGAGAACAATGGAGACATTGAGAAACCCAATTGGGCTCGCATTGAGGGAGCCACTGAGTTGAGTGACCTGGCCCATTGGCACTACAACGATGGGTTCAAGGATGCCCCAAGCTGGGAGGACATCCCATTTGATGAGCATTCCGAGCCTGAATGGCAGGCATGCGCCAAGTTCCAGATGCCATTAGACCTGAGAAGGGCCATGCTGGCAAGAGAGGCGACCATGAGCGATCAAGCCAAGGCAAAGAGGGAGAGGAGAAGAGAGAAGAATAAGACCAGGCGGCAGAAGAAGCAACAGGAGCATCAGCTCACGGATGAGGCCCGGGAGGAGCTGAGAGCAAGCATGCAGGAAACCTCCAGGCTCCTCGCCCTTCCTACTTGCCCTAAACCCCCATGAGACTCTCCTCCTGTCATGCCACCAGCCAAGGTATGCCGCCATGAGGGATCTGCCAGCATCGGCCTCGAAGAAAGGCAAGGCGAAGGCCAAGGCGAAGGCCCAGGCCAAGGCCGAAGCCAAGGCCAAGGGCATGAGCTTGCCCAAGATGGGCAAGATGGCCAAAAAGCAGCATAAGAAGCAGCTCCCTGAGCCGCCATTGCCTCCGCCACCCGGCCCACCAGCTATGAGTGCTGACACTGGTGAGCATGACATGACCAAGGGCACATGGAGGATAGTCAATGAGGCCTGTGGGTTCGAGAGAAAATTAGCTGGTTGAGCAAAGCCCATCATAAGCTCTCCCTAGCCGCAGGACGCTGGCATTTCGCTGTATGGGCGGCATGGGTCCATTCTGGGTGTCGGCCGTCAGAACTGCCACATGCTGCTGGAGAAGGACCATTTCTTCCCCAAGCAGCAGAAGGCATGGGTCAGCAAGAGCCATTGTGAGCGATTGCCAGAGGGTGAGCATGTCCTTCTACCGGGCCTGGAAGCAGGAAATGCTGCTTGACATGGGGCTCTTGAGCCAGGACCTGGATCAGCTGGATGGGCTTGAGCAGGTTCACATCCTCCCATACCCAGCCATTGAGGCCGGCGGCATAGAGCTGCAACAGCTGCATTTGGGCTGGCGAGTCCTGCTTTGGCACATGCTTCAGAGCTCAATGCCCTGCAAGAGCATGGGCTTCATTAGTCCTGGATGGACACAGCCACTATATCTGCATCATGACAATGCCAAAGTGGATGTGGATGCATTCATTGAGTGCATCAAAAAGCAGATGAGTGCTCATACACTGAACTTCCTCCCCCTGGGGTCTGCTGGGCACTGGGTTTTGCTCGTCATAGATGCGACACATGAGTCTGAGACTCCCAAAGTGAGGCACACCATGCTTTTTCCTCCTTTTCCCTATTATAAGGTAGAGTTGTGCATGGGGACTCCTTATTTCGCATTCGCACGCAGAGCCAGCCCTGAGGTACTATGACTCCCTGCCGGATGAGTCCCAGCGATGCAGGGACTACGCTGAGAAAATCTTGGCATCCCTGCTCTCCATGGGCCTGGTGCATGAGGCGGTGCTGCCTCCTCGCAGGAACAAGGTCTTCCAGGGAGTCGATGAGTGCGGATTCCATGTTCTGGCTGCCATGGAGCAAGAGGCCGCAAAGGCCATGGGGTTTGGAAAGGCCAGCACTGGGTGGCCTTCGCATTCGGCGAAGAAGTGGCATGAGCGGCTGCATAAGGTCACAAATGCTCTCCGCACTGAGCAAACCAAGCGACTGGATGAGCTGAAACAGCATAAGAAGAAGGAGGAGGCCTTGGGAATCAAGATACTCGGACCTTTAGTATTTAGGCCCATTTTCCCTTTTGTAATTAGTCTTAGACATACAGGGACCCTTTTCTTCCTGGGCTTCCCAGGATGAAAAAAGAGCGAGAGCACATGGCGGCCATGGCTGAGAAACGCATGAGCAAAGGCCTTGAGCTGACTGCGCTTCAGATGATGGCCCATGAGGTCATTAGCCAAGGCAAAGTCCTTGAGATCGAGGACATGCCTCAGGCATACTGGGATGAGAGAAATCGAATCGAACTCTATGAGATTGGAGTCTGCAGCCGCTGCCGGCATGCCTCAGGCTGCCTGAGCTGCGATGAGGGTAAGCTCCTCGCATACTGGATGAGGAGGGAAGCCCGCAGATTGGGCAGGAACATTGCCCCTAAGTACAAGCTTAGCTCTGCTGGACATGAGCTGGTCCCATGAGGAAAAGTCTGCCATCATGAGTTCTTTACGGTTTAGGCTTCAGGGTTTGGGGTTTAGGGTTAAGTCATAAGCCTCTAAATCCCCTAAATCCTTATTTCGGGGATTTTCGGGGATGGCCCCGTCTAATCGGGGGGGGTTTAAATGAGCTCCGGTACTATAGGGGTGGGGTCTAATGGACCTCTTCATTAAGCCCATGACATGCCCGGGACCGCCCCGTCTAATCTGGGGGGGTATCTTAATCGGTAAACGACATTAGGTTATGGCAGTTTAAGGCAGGGCTTATGGAGTTTAGGGATCTCCGGTAATAAAATCAGGATATGTTGCACCCTGTGCATTGGAGCTCATGTCCTATAAGGCTGGGTTCGGGATTCTTTGAATCTGCATTGACTCTCGAAGGTTTGGGATGTGTCATTTACGGATTCAACGGTTGAGGTTTATGGGAGACTCTTCAAAACGGCATAGACGAACTCGTCTACAATCCTTCCTAGAAGCCTCATACAAGCAGTTTCGGTTTAGAGTTTTAGGTTCAGGCCATAAAACCTCCCCAAACGCAAAACCTTAAACCCGCAAGCCCTAAACCCCAAACCCCTCCAGACATTGCACCCAAAAGGAGCCCTTGTAGATTCCTTCCATTCCCTTAAAGCAACCTTTCATTGGCTCCAGACCCTGAAACTAGATTGAACTTGGGATCCTTGCACAAATTGTAGGGATTAGAGCAACCAAAAATTCAGAATCATGTCTAAGTAACCCTGAGGAAAGCAAAGGTCCCCTTCTGCCCGTCCCCAATCGGCCTGCAAGAGCGCCTCGGAAGGTGACCGTGGGTATTTTCGAAGGGCCATTTGCGGGATGAGGAATTTCGGGCTTAAGTGTTCTTAAAGGATCATGGGGCTTAGTAACTGGGGTTATAATTAGGGTAACTATACTTATAACTACTTATAACCCCAGTTAAGGTACTTCTAACCTTACTTACTAAGTCCCATGATCCTCCAAGTTCGGGTGTTAGATTCAATGTGCGTAGTTGTCAAAATGATGGTCCGTTTGGGGGTACCCTAAATAATAGGTGCCGTACTATATTAGGAGCCCAAAAAGGGACCCTAATTTTGAGAACCATCCATGTACTGTAGGGCCCAGGGTCTTCGGTTCGGGGGCTTGACTTCAGGCCTGATGGGTTTTGGCTTTCGGCTGTGGGTCTAAGGCTTTGGGTCTTGAGGGAAAGCTGCGTCTCGGTACACGTGTGTGCAGAGGAATAATAGATATAGATAGATAGACAGATAGATAGGTAGATGGTCATACATAAAAATATTTGTATACACCGAATTACAACTCATGATTCATAGGTATGTATATCTGTGCTCCATTCTATGACGTTATGGTGTCAGTTTGTAGGTTTGTGTCCGTGAGTTATGTATACATATATGTATACATATTTATATATACATATATATATATATATATATATGTGTGTGTGTGTGTGTATACAGATCAATGCGTGGGGTGTTATGGTGGGATACCATATGGTCTGACAGGACAGGATATGATATGATAGGGTATGCGGATGTAGGTTATGGTATGGTGTGCTTTGCTATGGCCTCGCATGATATGACTTGATCTGCTACGGTATGACATGATATCATATGCCACGGTATGATACGATGTGACGGGAAAGGATGTGATAGGCTACGACAGGATAGAGCATCATATGTACCTCTCTGTATAGAAATCAACATTGGATCTGTTCAATCAAGGACCGCAGAGCACCTGCGTGGCTGCATCGTCGGCCATCTGCCCAAGCACAAAGGCAACCTGTCCATCCACGAACGTGGATGCCTACGTAGATGGCTGCTTGTCCAAATTATATGTATACATACCATAAACCAGCCCAGCCCGGCCCAGACCAACCCAGACCATCCCATGCATCACGAATTTTGTAGATGTGTGTACATGTGCAGGTTCATGCACAGGTACATGTACATTCTGTGCAAAGCACCACCTCTCGACTTGGTGAAACCCACAGCCCAAACGTCAGTCAATGTACTTGTAGTATGTAGTAGCTTACATTCAGCGTGACAAACCCGAGACCCCAAACTCTAAACATGCCTTCTGCCATCATATTCCTCTCAGGAACGCTTACAAAGCTTCTAGCTTCTTAACCTAGCTGTACATTAACTTATTAGCAACCCTTTCAGATAGGAACCCTTGTATACGAAATAGAACCCTAAATCCGAAACCCTAGACCCCAAAAACGCACATAATCCGCATAAAACCTCTATATTCTTAAAATTCGTATCTAAACTCATAAACCCCGGATGTACAGTAAACACTTGCACCAGCATCTACGGCTGTCCGTACTCTCACATAACCTTTATAGTAACCCTCATAGTGGACACAGGAATAAAGCCCTCAACCCTGAACCCCAAACCCTAGGGATCAAAATAGCCCAAAAACCTTATATAGTATGGTCTTTGGGCCCAAAAAGCCTTAATATATGAGTCCTTAGAGCCTGGCATTAGAGCCTTAGGGAAAGATCGTGGCGCAACCTCATGGCGCAGCACCGCGCTGGAGCTGTCGTTCACGAGCCTTAAGCTGGGACTGAAAGGTGGGGGAAAGGGCGGGGGCCTTGGAAAACGGTGTGGGGTTTAGTTTTTAGGATTTGGGGGGGTTTAGGGATTCCTTATGAAGGGCAGGGCCTGTGTAGGGTTTAGTTTTTAAGATTTTCGGGACTTAGGGATCCCTTTTGACGGGCCATGAGGGGCCCTGTGATGGTGCGACTATTGGATTTGATGGGTAGAATCGGGCTTTTCGGGTACCAGCAAAACAGTAAGGACATGCGCGCCGTATCTGGAGGCCCTCTCCGCCTTGCTCTTGCTCCAAGCAGCATCTTCGCCAAAGCCTGCGTGGCAGCCGGGCCGCCCACGTTTCGCAGGGTGAACCTTAGGCTGGGTTCTTGTTAAGGAGTTTACTTAAGTTACCATAATAAGGAAACCATATCTTTTGTGCTATAGATCCCTATTATGGCAACTTTAACTAACTAAACTCCTTAACAAGAACGCAGCATGGGCACCCATGGCTTCCGTTGCACGGTTGCGCTTCAACGTACGTGCATTGTGGGAGTGCCAGGTCCCCATTCTTAGTTCCAACCTCTGCACCAAACAGTCTTCAGCTTACCCATAGGCCTCTTAGTAGTTCCGGTTTAGGGTTTAGGGTTTAGGGTTTAGGGTTAGGGTTTAGGGTTTAGGGTTTAGGGTTTAGGGTTTAGGGTTAGGGTTTAGGGTTTAGGGTTTAGGGTTTAGGGTATAGAAGCTGACCAGTTTTTGCAAGCAGGCGCATGGACGGACTGCATGTCCCTGCTCGCACATGAACCGTGCCTACCTACTGCAAATTCCAGACGACTTCATTATAACCAGTCCGAGGAAAATCGCCTTGGGTCATCCTCATATGCATTTCCATCACTGACACACAAACACTACTCCACAAGAACCAGTACGTCAAAGCCGCCGTAACATCCGCCACCACCGACGGCACCTACACCATCACCATCATGTGTCGCAGCACCACAAGCAGCAGCAACAGCAAAAGCAAGAACAACCGCAGCATCAGTACAACGAACAGAAACAACAACAGCAGCAGCAAGAGCAACAGCCACAGCGATAGCGACAACCACAGTGTTGACGACATCCACAACAAGGTCATTATTGCTCGACTGGTGTTTGCGCTCCTCCTCCTCCTCCTCCTCCTCCTTGTCCTCCTCCGCTTCATCATCATCATCATCAGCATCATCATCATCATCACCATCACCATCATCACCAGCACCACCGGCATCGTCATGATCGTCGTTCGCGACGAACACTTCACTTCTGCAACTTTCCAGCTCCAATACGGCGAGGATCGACCCCTGCAAACTTGTGTTCTGCCCAAGAAGCATGCCCTCGTAGCGCTCGTAAAGTGGGAGCGACGAGTCTGCTAACCTCTCTGCGGCCCAAGGGACCTCAAAAACAGATCCAGCTCTATACCCTAAGGCTCCAAAGTAGTTCCTTTTTGGGGTTCATATATAGAATCCTATAAGGTAATCCCAAAAAGGAACTACTATGCCATAGTAGCTCCATAGTAACTATGGAGCCTCTGGGTAGAGATCTTTCTTTGGGGCTTCGGACCAGGGTCTCGGAGTCTAGGGTTTCAGGAGCTTGAATCCTCGCAAGACAGGAATATACGTAGCTTAAATCCAGCTCTTTTTTGGTAGATTCCCGTGGAAAGCTCCGTAAAGCCCTCCAAGAAGCTACAAAAACCCAAACCCATCCACTTGCGTGGAAGGTATCTTCTTCAATGTGGGGCCCCTTGCGCTCTCTGGGCACTGCCTCCCCAGAGAGCCCAATACCCCTTAACTAGGGAATATGGCTTAAATGATATAGGGCTTCATAATATCATTTAAGCTATGTTCCTTAACTCAGGGGTATTAAACTCTCTGGGTCTGCTGATCCCTTGCTGGCCTCTGCCTCCGTAGCACCGGCAAGGCCGTCGGCGGGATCCTGCCCGTAACTTCCTAGGTTGGCCCTTCTAAGCCTCGGAAGAATATTGGGGTTAGGGATCCCTAGGGTTCCTTTAAAGGGATCTATAGGGGTTCCTTTAAAGGGCGTAAAGAGGGTCCTCGTAACCCCCAAAAAGGGAAAACATGAAATGTCCTAAAGGCCTGCCTAGAGGTGACAATTGAAAGGCTTGCTGCTGTAGCCTGCTATCAGGGGGATGATAAGGGCTTCATTTACTAGGATACCCAGTAACCTAAGAATAAAAAGGCCTCTCTTTTTGGTATTGGGTAACTTTATAAGGAACCTAGGACTACAAAAAGGGAATAAGGGTACTACTGGGCATCCTAGTTTAGGGGCCTGCATATGTAGAACAAGGCTATTGGCCTTAAAAGATATGGTGTCTTGAAGGCCCATTACATAGTATAATCTAAGACATGTAGGGGGACAGTATCAACTGTGGGTCTGGGCGGTAGTCGGAGA